GTTCCCTCTCTCCTCTCCCATCCTCGCTCCCCTGTTCTCTTTCCCCTGTCCCCCTTCCCCTCCATCTCTCGCCACGTGGACCACCAAGCGGGGCTGAGGTGAGCATGCTACTATGAAATGTGTCTGACTCCATTATTTCAATCTCTCTTCTATCTCTCATGCTCTCGATGACTTTATTATAATTTTTATATATCTCAACTGTGCAATTGAGCCTATCAAACCCGCGATTAGTTGAGGGGGGCTGGCATTTCCCCCACAGGCATCCATAATTTGTTACAATCCACACAGCCTTTCCATAGTCAATAAAACACAGGGAAACATCTTTCTGGTGTTCTCTGCTTCCAGTCAAAGTCCCTCTGATAATAGCAACCCCACCTGTCCTTCTACATCCTCTTCTAAATCTGGTTTACATTTCTGGAAGCTCCCTGTCAATGTACTGCTGCAACTATTTTTTAATTATCCTCAGGAAAACTTTACTTATTTGTGATATTAATGATTTCTGCGTTCAACAATTTCTGCATTCTCTTGCCCTTCTTTGTTTGGAATGGGTACAACCGTGGATCTCTTTGGAAAATTTTATTATTAATAGGGATTTCATAGATAGATCATTCCATAGTTCAGTCACAGTGAGCAGTATTTTACAATTGCTACCACATCAGTTTCCAAACATTCTTTTTTTTTTTTTCTGGACTCCTTGACATCATCTCCCTTTTACCTGACCCCCCCACTGTACTCCCCACCACCCCTGCCCCTCAAAACCCTTATTTTACTTGCCGTCTCTATAGATCTATTAGTCCTGAGTTGCATGTACTGAAAAACAGAACAGCATCTAACACTTCAAGAGTGTGACCTCTAATGATATGACAGCTCTGAGAGACCTTAATAAGAACGAACAAAAACAAAACAAAAATGCAGAACATGTTGAAAACCAGATCAGGCCCAGCGTGCATCAGTGGGGGGACCAACTGGTAAAGTTTTAACTGTTCATGTCAGCTTTATGCCTCTGATCTTCTATCCTTATCTCTCCCCTTACCCTCCCTAACTCCCCTTACCCCACCTTCTCAGGTGTGGATAGAGGGAGTTCACCGGAGCCTTGTTTCCTATGTAGTTCCCACAAAAGAATCCTGGGTTCCCACTGTCATCCATAGCCTCCTGCAAACCGGCAATGCTATCAGCTCCCCATTTCTCCTTCCTCACCCCCTCTCTTCCAGTATCCTCTGAACCATCACTCCTGTAACTATTTCTGAAGGGTTATCCATCTTGACTTTCATGTGTCCATGATCTTAAATATACAAATGAACAGACACAAATGTAACATGATTAATGAGGTTAAACAGAAGCCATAATAGCAAGAGGAGGAAATATTTAGGAACTAGAGGATTGTTATGTGGTTCATCAGTGCCATATTGCACCCCTGAATTTGTCATCGATTCCACGTGGCTCTTCTGAGAGGGGCTGCCCAATTATCTTACAGGTGAGTTTTGGGTCTCCACTACATCCATGCCCCTTCACATCGATTTGGTTGTGTGTTTTTGAACTTCTGCTACCTTTTCCCGTCAACCCTTCATGATCACACAGGCTGGTGTGCTTCTTCCATGTGGACGTTGTTGCTTCCCTGCTAGATGGCTGCTTGTTTAACTGCAATCCTTTAAGACCCCAGCTGCTATGTGTTTTGATACATAGCTGGGCACCATCAGCTTTCTTCACCACATTTGTTTATGCACCCATTTTGTCTTTGTGTCAGAAAGGTGAGTACCATATAATGCCATATTACATGATAAAATTATTATATTATATTATATTATATTAACAAACCACTCTTGTACTGAGGCAAGATTTAAGTAGAAGCCTACAGTCCAGCTATGGATCTCTTCCAGTCAGTTGTCAGAGTAGTTGTGTTCCAAATTTATAACATAGATTAGTGAGGACTTCCAGCATTGCATATATTTGTTGTAACCTTTCTCTTGACATTCTGTCAACTCCTGGCGCCTTGTTTTGAAACAAAGTCTTCGGTAAAGACTGGATTTCTTCCTTCAATACCATTGGTTCTTGATCTCAAGTAGGTGAACCATGTCTGTTTGATATGGTGACCCTGCGTTGGTGCTTCCTGCATCATTCACGATTTTGTCAGAGAACCCTTCGATACTTTATATTGAGGTTTGGCTGTTTGCTTCAGGTTTTGTTTTGTTTTTTCCCCCAGTTTGAGAAAGACTGAGTGTGTTGTTCCCTTTTTGTTTTCTAACTCCAAGCCTTTGCATGTTTCATGATAATACTTTATTTTGTCTTTTTGAGTGACTCTTGAAGTCTCTTCACCTCTTTTATTTCAGCATGTCTTCCATTCCCTTTAGCTAGTCTACTCTCAAGAGCAAGTTTCAGTCCTTCCTGATGTCCATTTTGGTCTCTCTCTCTCTCTCTCTCTTTCTTACTTTGCTTTTTTCATGTATGATGTTCTTGATACCATCCCATAACTTGCCTGGTCTTAAGTTGTTGGGATTCAATGTGTCAAATCTATTCTAGAGAAAGGCTCTAAGTTCAGGAGGCAAACACTCAAAATTGCACCTTGGCTAGGTGTGTTCGTTTTCATTTACAGTGAACCCTCGCCACTTCGCGCTTCGACTTCCGCGGCTTCACTC